GCTCAAGAAGATACTTTAGTTTCTTGGAAGCTGTGGGCAAAAGAAAATCGAACATCATAAATAGAACACTAACATCAACCTCCCATGTGACAACCTTTTTGGGTAAAAGAACAACTTGTTTGCACTACACCGAGCAGTGCAGTGTAATTTTTCTGCAGTGCAAAAGTTAGAATTTTACCCTTTCAGGTTAAAGCTTTAAAATTTTCTTCACAAGACACTTTTTTTTGGCAAAAATATTTGCATTGATAGCGTGTCAGAAAGTTTAGTATCTTTGAGCAAGATACTAAACCCCCAAGTTCTCCCTGATGCACTTTAAGTGCTCTGATTGAGTTCCACTCCATCTATGACTAGAAGTAGCCGTCTACATTGTATACAGTAACATATATTCTTTTCTTTACTTCACTGCACTGATAAAAAATATGCTCCTCATAATAAATACTGTGCTGGAGATGAAATTTAGCCTATATTTGCATTTTACATAAGACAAGCCAATCAGGAGTTCAATACTGGGCAATATTGGTAACATCATCAAATATGAATTCATTTTCTTCTGTTACACAGATAAATTCACAGATTGTATCATTAAACATGATGTATGTTAGGCAGTAAATTAACAAGTATGTAAAGTAATCTCAGGTCAGTACATGAATATGTAACTGCAAACCATTGCCAAAACATCACCCATCATGTGAGAGTAATGGGATTTTACCTGCTCTCTCCGGTGTATATAAAGCTGAAGACCAGGTGAAGCACCTTGATATCAATAAAAGAATCACTGCACAGTTCATTATGAAGGGTGTCACTCTTCCTCCTCCTGTGTTTCATGAGAAAACAGAATAATATTTTGTTGTCACAGATGGCCTGGGATCATCAATAAAACTTTAAGTTAAGAAAAATTGTGGTACATTTTACAGTCCAATATGTTTCCCAAATTTTAAATCGGAAATTGGCAAAGACAAAGACAAAAACCTGCGTAATTGAGAAGATACAGCCGTTCGGTCATCCTCCAGCATCCTCCAGCACGATGTTTTTAGTGTCCAATCAGAAAATTCTCTGGATAAAGCTTGACTTTGTTTCTCTACTATTTATCTCTGTTGGGTTCTCTGTCCAATCATCAAATGTGCAGCTGTCATCGGTCTCTAACTCTTACGCCCTCTCTTCCCTCGCTCTGGTCATATGGTCCACTCTGTAATCGACAGTGTGTAAACTGGACTCTTGTAACCATACGAAGATCTGATACTCACCAGCTTTTGTGTTTGTTTTCGTTTATAGTCTTTGTTTCTTTGTTTTTATTAAATGTGAGACAAAATATGAAAAACAAAAAGTTTTCTCAGAGGATTATAACTATGAATGAAACCAGCATTAGCACCTAAAATTCTACATTTTGGTGTTGCAGGTCAAGGTGCAAACACTGATTTGTAAAACATGCCATTATCTGATTTGTTCGAGCTGACACATACTAAATCTGTCAGTGGTAGACGCTACCTTTAGAACATGAATAAATGAATTATTTATTACTTGTCAATCAATGTATTGATTGATCAATTACCAGATAGCAAAGTGTCTATAATCTTATTCAATTCCTGTTTTAAATGAATGAAGAAACAATGAATACATACAATGATAAGTTTTGTGTGTTGCATCTTAAGAACACTTAAGAAGGAGAACCTTAATATTACACATTAAAACAAAGAAAAGTATTAACTTTGATCAAATCTGCACACTTTTCTTACATTCCCTTGTGCTGTCAAAAAACATATTGTACAATAAAGTGCACCGAGTGATGAGCCATCTCTGAACCCTGTAGACAACAAGTTAGCCTGTGTATTCTAACCTTTCCCATAAGGTCGTTGCCAGAGAGCACTATAGTGCGCATTGAGCCATCTTTGTTATTGCCCACATGGCTCTGGGGGCAGTGGGAGAGGAAGCTGTGTCGGACCTAGTTTCCTATTCCACCACGGTCCTCGGCACAAGGGCGGCATTGTGAGGGTTATGTTCTCCACACAGTGACAGCAGGCAGGAGACACACAAACAGCGTCCAATGTGGAAAAAAAGATTAAATGATGGGATTCTTCTATTTTTGCTGGTGTTGCTTCCCTATTGTGCTCCGTCATCAATGGGACTCTTTCATGTCCTCCAATTAGTATTCGCACAAACACCTCTAGGTGACAACAACCAAGTGGCTCTACAGAACTCTCTCCATATACAGTACCAATGCATTCATTACGTTGCTTCAGTTTGTTAAGGTTTGAAGGTATTCTTTTGTGCACAGCTATCTTCTGCACTTTGATTGGATGATTACAACTCTTTGATTCTTTCTTATTTCAGGAACTTTGCCTGCTGAAAAACAAAGCTTTACCTGGCCTCACATTCTACTGGTATACAGAAGAGTTCATGGTTGACTCAATGTGTCCTGTGGCTGGTGTCCCCAAACAACACTGTTCCAGAAGTCTTTTGATTTATTCAAATCAAAGTTTTCAAATCTATGCTATGTTGTCATGCTCCTAATAGAGAGAAGCTTTCTTCTGGTAACCCTTCCAACAAGTCCAATATATTCAGGCTTGTTTTATAATTGTTCTCTCATAGGTTTAATATTTAGCATGCAAACTAAATCCTGTAGAACAGCGGTCACCAACCTTTTTTGCGCCACGGACCGGTTTATGCCCGACAATATTTTCACGGACCGGCCTTTAAGGTGTCGCGGATAAATACAACAAAATAAAACTAGTACCGGTACCGAAAAAAAGAAGATTTATTCATAACACACGTGAAAAGACCCAGGAAAACCGAGTTAACGATAAAAACGATAACAAAATAACGCTGAAAACTGATAAAAACCCTGAAAACCATACATTTCATACCTCAGCCTTAACTCTCACGGCCTGGTACCAAACGACTCACGGACCGGTACCGGTCCGAGGCCCAGGGGTTGGGGACCGCTGCTGTAGAACCTCTTTTGGGTGAACTGCCTATGAAGAGTCTTGCATTGTGTTAACACAGACCTGAATGTTCCAGATCAGCAAACTACATATACTCCTGCTTATATATAGGAGATCACACTTGTTGATGATCAGCTAATCAAGTGTATGGACTCCTATGAAAATGCCGCCTTTCATGGTCTTTGTGAGTGTTGATCTCCTGTCTATGAATAGAAACACAATGTTATGCCATTTTGGGGCAGCTACACCAATTTATCATCGAACAGAAAATCAAAAATCATCAGGATATTTGTTCTTCAGATTCTGGTTGCATTGTAACAGATAGCTGAATATTGCTTGCAGGGCTTTGTGCTGTTAGTGTGAATTTATGTTGCATAGAAATGTTGCCCTCTGCAGTTTAACTATAATAACGACAATAAGTAACTTTATTTTGTCATAGTGCCATCATGTGGTAGTTTTAATAAATTTTTTTCAAACGGGAACCGAAAGTTTCAAAAATTTTTTTAAATTATTCTTTATTGAAAAATATACATCAGTTCAAAAAGCCTCACAAAAATATTTTTGTTCTTTTTTTCACTTTTCAACTTTTTGGCTCATTTTCTTATACTCGGCAGCTGCCTAAGGCTCAAAGCTACTTATGAAAGCCTGCAGGTAAATGCTCTTGCACTCTGTGACAGTTAATTTCAATTTTGTTGATGGATGTGTTTTTGGTGTTTCGCAATTTACTTCTGAAGCTCTAAGCAGGGCTGCAAATCACAGAGTCAGTTAAAAGCATTCAACATTTTAATCTCTACACATTTGATAACCACTCAGTCCATCTAGAGTTGATGAGTGGGGCTAATATGAGAGCTGGTCGACCTGCCTGCAGCCCCGATGTAGTACTGATGCATGACTCTGTTGACAAAATCTGTGAAAAAAGTGCTGAGGTCATGAAAGTGCCTCATGGTAAAAGTATGTACTTTTCACCAACATTTCTGAAACTTCATGTAAAGACACATGACCCTAACTTCTAACATACTTACAAATACCCTTCTTCTTGAATCCACTGCAGAGAGTGACAGTTTGTGACAGATTTACCTTCCTTACAGTTTAAAAAAAAATCCAATGCTAAGGAGTCACTGGAGGCACTTCCTTGTCTGACTAGGTTTCCCGTGTCTTCCTTGTGTGTAGGTGGCTTTTTTGTCTTTGCATTTCATCTAAGTACCAGGAGTCTGAAATAAAACCTTTTGACCTTTTGATTCTTATGAGGCATAATGCATAATGATCTTTTATAAGAAATGTGAAAGCTGTTTTCCACTCCTTTCCTGCGCTAGTATAATTTTACACCAAGTAATGTGCATACGTTTACAGCAGAAATGTGTGAGACCAAAAGTGACATGTCTCTTTTTCACAGACAGCTGTTAGGAGAAATAATGTAGGTTTTTTTTCCTGTTACTTTCAGAGGTCCTTGTAAACTTCCACCGTCCTTGTAACCATAAACCCCATATGGGCACACACTGTTTCTTAGAAAACAGTTATCAGGAAATGTCAACTGACTGTTACACTGAAAATGAAGTTGCTGGTACTTAAAACAAACACAAGCTTGTAAGATGTAGAGCTGAGGTGTACTACAGAGTCAGGTTGTAATTTTAGATGAGTTCATCAGTAAGGGCAAATGTTTTTACATGAAACAAAACACATTTTACACCATGCAGGCTGCCGGATGGAAACACCAGTCATTATTATCAGTCCTTTACTTATCTTTGTATACTTATCATTCACCCATTCACATCCCTTCACATTTTCCATGCTCAGTTGACTCAAATGTTACCAGTGAACATTTAGCAGCATTTTCTTGTTGTTTGCACTGTGTAAAAATTAAATAAACAAACAAAAAAAAACGACATTGACTTTGAATAGGATATTTGTTCTCTGTGCCAGTCGCGCTGACTGTGTCTTTATTTTTCCTTTCACATTATCACTGATGTTACTGTTTCACATCAATACAAACTAACGTTGTGTAAGGTTGCGTTTGGAATGTCAATAGGATAGTGTCATATTTAAGTAGCGTGCTGTAAGCATTTAAACATTCCCGTAATGCCACTTCTGTAGTACGCTGATGGTTGTCAAGTTATCGGTGTGGTGTGTCATTTGACTCTGTCCATTATTTTCTACAAATCACGTTTTCATAGTATGCTGATTATTGCGATATAAGACATGTGACACTTGCTAGTCTCGAAGCACTGATGCGGATCATGCATTGGTTGGCTGCTCAGATACCTCATTCTAATGAGAGTACTCATACCCTATCACACTTCAACATTCCTTAGTTTTGATGAACAAAATCTTTCAACAAAAACTGCTACACATTTACTTATTTATATAAAGACATTTTCAAGTTTCTGCACACACTGTTACAGTCCTTAACACTGCTTTTTGAAGTTAATAAGAGGTAGACTTGCTGATGTGTTTCCAATCACTGATAGAGCAAGTCATTCAGGTCCTAAAGCAATAAAGTAACCCCACACCATCACACTACCAGCACCATGTTTGCGTGTTGGTGTGATGTTCTTAAGCCAGATGTAATAGGGCTCAAAGCTTCCAAAAAATTCAATTTTTGTTTTGCACTGCACAGAATATTTTCCCAAAGGTCTTGAGGAACATCAAGATGAAGAAGGGTTTTTTTGTTTGTTTGTTTGACAAATGTGAGATATGTCTTGGTGTTCTTTTTGATCAGCACTGGATTTTGTCAGTGTCAGTAATTTTGATAAGCTGGCCACTCCTGGGAAGCCTCACCACTGAAACATAAATGAAATAATAATTTAAAAATGACATTTTATCATTTTATCTGCATTATATCAAGAAGGGGGGGATACTTTTGTACAGCATTGTACATAATACAACAAAAAATATATTAAATATAATATAAATATATTAAAAACGACAGGAGTTGTTTGACCCCTTGTCCTTTACATGGAGTGATTTAATAATGAGCCTGAGGCACAAGCTGAGTTAGTTGTGTAACACACATACGACAGTCATAGAAGTAGATATGAATCTCACAGCAAAGATGAGAGAGAGAACTTAACGTTCCCATACATGTTTTTCCCCCTTTGAGCATGGAGCACCTCCAGGTTGTTTCATGCCAGAACTGGAAACCAAAAACAACAAAGTGCATTTGTGTGTGTGTGTGTGTGTGTGTAGGGACACTCTTTAGGTAACTAGTATATATATAGTCGATATTTTCAGCTCAAATATC